TAATTACGGGCGACAGGGGGTAGGTGTAGCAATCACGTATCTAATTGACACGGGCGACCTTAGTGGGGGGGGGGCGGACTGGGAAAAGCCGGAGAAGTTTACTAGCTGGGTTTGACATTTTTAATCAGGTACCCCAGAACTGTTGCGACCAGGGGCGTAGCGAGGGGGGGCGGGGGGTTGCGGACAGCACCGGGTGACACCATTTAGGGGGTGACACCAGGGCAAAAAATGGCAAAATAAATAGAGAAAAACTTGAGGGGGGTGGTGCAAATCGAAAGTTTGAGGGGGGGGGGGTGCAAATCGAAAGTTTGAGGTGGGAGGGGGGTGCAAATCGAAAACTTGAGGGGGGGGGGCAAATCGAAAACTTGAAAGTTTGTCCCCAGGAAGGGTCGCTACGCCTCTGGGGGGGGGGGGGTGACACCATTAAGTGCCGCACCGGGTGACACCCGACCTCGCTACGCCACTGGTTGAGACATAGAAATTAGGTTAGGCTTGATGGGGAAGACAAAGAAGTTAGGACAGTGAGGGTTAGGAGACAGTCGAAGCTAGTCAGTCAGGGATGGAGAAATTTTTAGAGAAAGGACGTAGACAAGTGTAGAGTAGTGACAATAGTGTAGAGAACATTGACCTGTAGGCGTAGCCAACACGTGTATATTGTGCAGTGGCGTTAATCCCATTATATTCAATCATCGGATGTATAATAATTAAATGTTATGTAGCAAGCTGATCTTCGAGTTTTATTGAATGCACGGAATTAAGAGCGTTCTCTTCCTCGTCACAATTTTAAACTATATGTGTGGAGACTGGTAGTTACCTCACGTTTTAAGAAGGTAATATTAATAACAGAACCCCCTCACCCACCACAATTATCATTTAACATTTTTGTTACGACCATTTACGTTTTTTTTTCAGCTTAATTCAATTTTTTAATTTTAAATAGGAAACTATGCCTTATCAGCCCCCTGCTAATCCATTACCGGTGGGTCAATCCAATACTGATTATTTTATTAAAAACTCGAGTTCTGGACGATGGCGATGGTCGAGAACATTGTTTCAGACAGAGACCCTGGAAAGAGACAGCTAATAAGTGCAGGGAGGCTTTCTCTACAACGCACGGAGGTGGCCAAGGTTAGCTTTTTAGAGTGACAACTTGTCAACATCTTATAATGCTGTAAGGTTTGTTTGACCAATGGCGGAACTTTAAAAAAAAAGGCGCCTTAGCAAATTAAACTTTAAATTATACTATTTCCTAAGCTAGTATTTTAATCTATTTCATTGCAAAATATAAATCCATCCATGAATTACACACAAATAGCTCCAAAATATTTTTATTGGATAAAAATAATAAGAGTTTTAAAAAAGCTCATTCTAATATCATTTTCATACCGCCTTCAATTGTGAAAAGGGTTATATCTAATCTGGCAAGTCGGTCGAAGGTCGGAAGCTTGATTTGTGTAATGGTTTCTCGTGTTCGTTTTATTCTTATGTTTTTTTTGTATCAATATTATTAAGTTTGAATGCATCCTTTTATATCTATGTTATTTTTTAGCATAACTTATTGTAATAATAATTATGAGAATCAATAGCTTTTTCACTTGTTTAGTATAAAACTACTTGAACGAGATATACAGCACAATTAGTAGACGATTTAAAGACAAGAAGTAAATCATGGACGTGTTATGTACGTTTGCTTCTCTCAGAGGCGTAGCGAGTGGGGGGGGGGGACATATGTCCCCGGGCGCCGACCTTGGGGGGGGGGGGGGGGGGCGCCAAATTGAAAGTTTGAGGGGGGGGGGTGCAAATGAAAAGTTCGAGGGGGGTGCACATCGGAAGTTAGAGGGGGTGGGGTGCAAATGAAAAGTTCGAGGGGGGGTGCAAATTGAAAGTTTGAGAGGAAGGGGGGTGCAAATGAAAAGTTCGAGGGAGGGGTGCAAATCGAAAGTTTGTCCCGGGCGCCGAGAAGGGTCGCTACGCCTCTGGCTTCTCTTTCACACAAACAACAGCTCATGTAGATTTTTTTTTTCTCTACGTAACAGTGTCTGTTAGTTACTGGTGAAGAACCACTACTCGGGTAGATCTATTGTATTTAAAAAAAATAAAATAAAAAATCTAGTCTATCCAGGTGCAAGAAAAAAAAATAGTTTGGTCTGATTTTGGGTCCCCTTAACTGTTGCCCCCCCCCCCCCCCCCCAACCCAACCATGCTGAGTCTGGCTGTATAGTAATTATGTTCTATGTTTGACTCAGTCTTACAAAAATAGATTATGTGTGTACTATAATGATTTGTTTTACTCACAGATATAGTTGGACTACAGGTATATTACACTGATGGCTCTTCTATGTTTGAAAGTATATGGCGTGTGCCGAAGGCTTCATATGTGACAGTCAGTGTTTTGGAAAGTTTCGGGAATGTGAGTCAAACTTTGAGATAACTTACAATTAATAGACGAACAGGTGTCGGCGTGGTCGAGTCGGTAAAGCTCATGGTTGCTAAACCGAAAAGTCTCGAGTTCGAACCCTCGTGCAAATGAGGCTCATTAGCTGGGGACAGCCACTCTTCTAGGAGAGACAACTCCAAAAAGAAAAGCAGGCTGAAATCGGAGTCAATAGCCTCAATGGCGCGATGACCAGTTGACACGTGGTCGAGTCGGCAAAAGCTCATGGTTGATAAATTCGAAAATGTCTCGAGTTCAAACACTCTGGCAGATAAGGCTCGATCTCTTCCGACAATAAAAATTAAGAACGAACAACAGATTAGTGTGTGTTGTTTCAATCAATATAAGACATGCATGTTAACTCAGCAAACTCAAAAACCATTGTGTAAGCCTAGGTAGGAGAAGAAATTGACCTGACAGGAAAATAAATAAAAGAACATTTTTGATCATACTTTTTAAAAAAAAAAATGCAAACTTGCTTTCTTAAGTGAAGCACAGATGGCTAAAATGTGTACGGCATTTCATGTAGCTATTACTGATTTTACTGAAGAAAGTATATTTGCTTTCTTTTTTACAAAATTTAATGCATTATACAGTTTTTGCGTGTTTTTTTTTAAAATTACTTTTAAGTTAATTCGTTTTGAACGAAGCTGACGACATATTGAAATATTAAAAACCCCGCGCATTAGCTTGTGATCGCTAAAGACTGTCCCTCTTTCCAGTGGCGTAGGCAGGGTGGGGGGGGGGGGGGGAGGGGGGTTATAACCCCCCATGGACCCCTCTGTAAACAAATTTTTACAATTCCTAATACCAATGTAACTTATTTAAATCTACTTCTTAAACAGTATATATGTTTAATTGTATATGTATGTTCAGAACAACCATCTAAAACTGACGCTATATTCACTCTGAGTTGGTTACCCCCCCCCCCCCCCCACCCCACCAGACAGGGCAGGCCGAAATTGTGTAGTGTGGGATTAATGTCACACCCAGGAATACGCTGGGTAAGATAATAGACCTAAAGTGACCGGACAGTAGTGGATGAAGTTGAACCACCCCCCCCCCCCCCCCCCGTACTGATCTGTTAAATTCATATCTGGAGACATTTGATAAAGCTGTCAAAACTGACCAGTTGTATTTCTTTATACAATCTTTGTAAATTAATGTGAAAAACAAAGGGTACATTTGAAAAAAAGATTTTAGGGTACTCATCAGTAGCGTAGCGAGGGGGGGGGGGGGGGGGGGGCGGGGGGGGGGGGACATAAGTCCCCGGGCGCCGACCTTAGGGGGCGCCAAAATGGGTTGGAAAAATAAATTGAAAGGTTGAGGGGGGTGCAAATCGAAAGTTTGAGGGGGGGGGGGGTGCAAATCGAAATCTTGAGGGGGGGGGGGGGTGCAAAAATAGAAAAGTTTGTCCTCGGGCGCCGGGAAGGGTCGCTACGCCTTTGGTACTCACTCTCTGTGCATTTGGCTAATTTTTTGGCTAATGTTTTTCGATAAATTGCTAACACGTATGGGAAAACTGACGGTCAGACTCTAAGCCCTCGATGAGGACTAAAAAGTGACCGCGAGTTAAATTCTCCTTTGATGAGCAAAATATATCGAAATTTAAATTTGCTCGACGCCCCCCCCCCCCCCCCCCCCCTATGCCGCTCCGCGATGTCGTAGAACAACCCTGAGAGATAACAAAAAAACTTTCTGCCATCGTAAAATCCTCATAGGGCCTTTAGATCTGACAGATGCCATTTTTACTTTCTCGTATATACGAAGTATAGAGAAAGTCTTGTAATCGTGCAAAAAAAAAACAACAACAAGATTTTTACAAATCTCGACGTTGTACATCTCACTGATACGGAAAAAACATAATTTTCCAATCTTGTCCGTATGTCTGTGTGTCTGTGTGTGTGTCTGTGTGTGTGTCCGTGTGTAAACACGATAACTTGAGTACCGTTACAGCTCGGTTGATGAAATTTCATATATAAGTATTTTATCAAAATCGTAGATCCGTATCAACTTTTGAGCGATTTCCGATAACCGGAAGTGGTACTTTTTCTACTTTGAATTTTTCAAAAGCCTATAACTTGAGTACTATTTCAGATAGATAAATGAAATTTCACATGTAAGTAAAAGATCTAATTCTCTTCGTTGAGTAATTTCCGTTGACGGGAAGTACTAATTTACGCTATTTCCGATTTCTCAAAAACGCATCTAAATTTATAAAGTACTAATAATATTGCGCACCATTATGAACATCTTTATTCGGCGTTCGCTTGGTGCGCAATACGTTTTTCTATGAGATTCTATTCTATTTTTGTTCCCATCCCCTGTTGTTTTATATAAGAACGAGCCGACCCGCTGCGTATCATACGCCGCTATTTAGTTGTTTTTTTTTCTACTTTTCAGTAATTTATAATTTGTGAATTCGACAGTACCAATGCTGCCATTGAAAATATTTGCTTAAAAACACTACCCCCCCCCCCCACGTGAAAGCAGCCTCCTCTTAGTTACCTCCTCTAAGTTTAAAATCGTTTCAAACTAAATTATCTGCCCCTAATAGCCGTCACCAAACCCGTCTCTGTGATTGTAAAATTTAAACAGAGTGAACACCGCTCACCAGATCATGTGGGGGTGGGGTGGGGGTGGTAGTGATAGTGATAGAGAGGAAGAGAGGGGACTGCAAAGGCGCGCTTGCAGCTTGTTTTCTAACTGATCCCAGAAGAGAATTATATATATATATAGATATTCGAGAAAGTTTAAGGGAGATCACTCCCGGTTTATTTCTTATATAAACAGCAATTTTTAATAAAAAAAATAAACTACGTCATTCGGTCTATGTACAAGGGAGGTAACCTTTCCAAGTAATTAATTTTTAATAAAAAAAATTGAAAAAAAGCAGAAAATGATGAAATTTACCATTCGTTTGAGTTAGCAATCCATTATACATTAAAAATATATCCCAATAAAACAGCAAAAATTAACTTGAAAAATTTATGTAATATAACCTTTGAGATAAATTATCAAGGAAGCCTCTGTAATTTTAATTACATTTTGGGTTATATCCATTCGAAAAATTTTCAGCGATTCTCAAAATTGAAATTTCTGTTTAGATTCAACATTACGCATTCCGAAACGCAGTCAATCAACAATTAATTAATATTTCAAATTTTCAAATATATATATATATATATATATATATATATATATATATATATATATATATATATATATATATATATATATATATATATATATATATATATATATATATATATGAAAAACCTGAGCGAAGCTAGGTAGTATGCCTAGTTGGAAATAAAGGTATTTATTTAAAAAAAGGTATAAATGAGATATAAACATTTTTAAAGCAGGATTATAATAAACGAGCCGACCTGCGGCGTATCATACGCCGCTATTTAGTTGTTTTATTTTCTCATTTTCAGTAATTCATAATTTGTGAATTCGGCAGTACCAATGCTGCCACTGAAAATATTTGCTTTTAAATACTATCAGTTGGTCGTTAAGGACGATATATATCTTTACAATATATATATATATATATATATATATATATATATATATATATATATATATATATATATATATATATATATATATATATATATATATATATATATATATATATATATATATATATATAATCCTGGCTTCGCCACTGCCTCTTTCAATGTGCGGGAACACTTTCAGATGGGAAACAAACCAACCCTCTGTTACCAAGTGTTTACTGTTGTAACCGCTCTGATCGAGTGTTCGGTTGAGATCAATCCTGTTTTTATCTCTTCTTTAATTATTAAATTGAACAATAGTTTACTTTAATTTTTAATAATTTTTTAATGATCGAATTAATTTTAAAAATTAGAAAAAAACTTGCATTGTCTGCAGTTATCTTTAAAATTTACAATTGAGTTACAAGATTTGCTACAAAGCAGTTTTAAGTAAATAAAATTTAAGAATAATTAGGAGAGTTATGAGAAAGTTAAAATAACAAGTTAATGTTCGTTAAAATAAAAAAAAATGAGCTAATCGGTACTTGATTTTGGTTTCATTTAAAAAATAACATTTTCTTGAATAAGCAATAATGACTTTTACATATTATTCAAACGTACATTAACATTTATGTATTATGTTATGAAGTTATTTGATGAAATTAAAATAAAAACTATTATTATTATTTTTTCAACTCCTAATTTTATTTTTATGGGTTATAACTAGGGTTACTCAAATTTTTAAAGTTTAATTAACACCTTTACCTTTATCAGATGCTGCAAATAAACAACACCAAATACATTTTATGGATTTGAACCTGAGTAGCTTAGATATGTATGTCAACATATATATCTATGCATTCATCCAGTCCGATCTGTTTATTACCTGCTGTTTAACCCAATCTTATAGTTCAAGGTATACACACAATGCATTCAGTTTTCTATTATTTCTCTCTGACATAATTCCACTCCCTCTCTTTATCCAAATCTTTAATTATCGTATGCATCACATCACACCACAACACACCAGACCACATCAAATTAAATCGAATCGAATCGAATCAAATTAAATAAAATAAAATCAAATAAAATAAAATAAAATCAAATAAAATCAAATCAAATCAAATCAAATCAAATCAAATCAAACCAAACCAAATCGAATCGAATCACATTTACATTTACATTTGCATTCGCATTCACATTTACATTTACATTTACATTTACATTACATTACATTACATTACATTTCATTACATTACATTACATTCCATTCTACCCTTCTCTATTCTACTCTTCTATTCTCTGCTCTGTGATGTTCTATTCTATTCTATTCTATTCTATTCTATTCTATTCTATTCTATTCTATTCTATTCTATTCTATTCTATTCTATTCTATTCTATTCTGTTCTATTCTGTTCTATTCTATTCTATTCTATTCTATTCTATTCTATTCTATTCTATTCTATTCTATTCTATTCTATTCTATTCTATTCTATTCTATTCTATTCTATTCTATTCTATTCTGTTCTGTTCTATTCTGTTCTGTTCTGTTCTGTTCTGTTCTGTTCTGTTCTGTTCTGTTCTGTTCTGTTCTGTTCTGTTCTGTTCTGTTCTGTTCTGTTCTGTTCTGTTCTGTTCTGTTCTGTTCTGTTCTGTTCTGTTCTGTTCTGTTCTGTTCTGTTCTGTTCTGTTCTGTTCTGTTCTGTTCTGTTCTGTTCTGTTCTGTTCTGTTCTGTTCTGTTCTGTTCTGTTCTGTTCTGTTCTGTTCTGTTCTGTTCTGTTCTGTTCTGTTCTGTTCTGTTCTGTTCTGTTCTGTTCTGTTCTGTTCTGTTCTACTCTGTTCTACTCTGTTCTACTCTGTTCTACTCTGTTCTACTCTGTTCTATTCAGTTCTATTCTATTCTGTTCGATTCTGTTCTGTTCTGTTCTATTCTGTTCTATTCTGTTCTATTCTGTTCTGTTCTGTTCTGTTCTGTTCTATTCTATTCTATTCTATTCTATTCTATTCTATTCTATTAATTCTTTTGTATACTATGTACAGTTATGGTGCAATGCGTGCACGACCCGGTGATGATTTTAAAGTCAGCAGTTTTTCACGGCTGTGTGATGCTATGTGTCACTCTCGGAGGTTCATTGAGTTTTCCAGCACAGAGGAAAACATCATGGGTAAATATAAGCTACACTTTAGTATCGAATAATACAAAAAAGTAATTCTAATATATAAAGCTCAAATAGACTCTGTATGCATGTAACATGTTTGTGTAATACACGCATATAGTAAAAAAAACTCAACTTGATCGCCATTGTTTAATATTCTTAGTGTTCATTTTTGTATTACAATCTAAATTTATGTTTAAATATCAATACTGATGGTTTTTAAAAAAATTGTTTCTTTTTCTAAACTTATTTTTTTAAAAATTTACGTAATGTGCAAAGAACAAAATCAAATTAAATATATCACCTTTCAACTAACTATAACTTTTAAACAATAACAGTTTTTACATGTCCTCTGTGTTTAATTTTATCTTTCCGTTTGCGGATCAGATGGGGTATTATAGTCGTTCACTAAATTGAATCAGGCGCGTCGGCCAGCGACCCGGCAGGGGGCGATTAACTCCCCGTGCTACCACGAGAGCGCATTGGCACCTACGTTCGTTTTAGTGAGTGCAATAGACTATGCATATGATGGGGTATTATAGTAGTTTACCAAGTTAAATCAAAAGTGTCCGCCGGCGCTCCGGCGAGGTCCGATTTCGCGTCCCGGACTATATTGTGAGCCCTATGCGTTTGTGTTTACGTTTAAGTTTGTGTTTGTTTGCTTTTGTGTTTGCATTATTTTCTGCGTTATTATTTGCGTTTGTTTGCGTTTTCGTTTTTGTTTGTGTTTCCGTTTGTTTTTGCGTTTGTGTTTGGATTTACGGTTTGTTTTTGTGGTTTTTTTTTGGTTGATTGTGGTTAGGGTTAAGTTTAGAGTTCGAGTTAGATTTATGGTTATGTGTTATTTTCTCAAGCATCCATAATTGCATACTGAAGTTTAATTTGAACAGTAAAATATTTCCTAAACCCGGGCTATGCCGGATATAATATACTGCTTAATGAACACAGAAGCTACAGTTCTTTACAGATGGGTTTTCACAGAAGCCAGTGCAGGGCCTGGCCGGGACGGCTAGTGTATAAAGTAACATATAGGGTTTGGGCTAATTTAAATCCATTTCCTTTCTTTCACGTACTGAATTTACTTTCCATGATATTAAACGGAATGCACAGATTTTAAAGTAAATTACGTTAAAATAATTAAAACAAATTCACATTTAAATTTTTTATTCGGTCTTTCTATCTACTACTATCAGATGATGGAGAATACTATGCAGTTTATGCTTTAGTGCCATGGACTGTGGATGGAAAGCTTGAGGTGAAGTTCATCTGGAATGTAACAAATATCAAAGGACCAGGTTGGTCTTATTTGATTCAATAATTTTAAAATATATACAGTCCAGTGCGCTGTGCAGTACAGTTCGGGGTAGTGCAATGCAGTGCAGACATTCTTGAGAACACTTACAAAATATTGTGCGAGTCAGCAGTTATCGCGATATTTATGTGAGCGGGTGAATGGATGATTTATTTTGTATTATTTTATTGTGTGCGAATCTGTGCGTGAATGGTCCACTGGACAGCGGCTACGGGGTTTCCCCTTCCACCCGAAGCGGTCAGTATAAAAACTGAGTATTGTGTGAGTCAGCAGTTGTGTGACATATTAGTGGGGTCCTGTTTTAAAAGAGCTGTATCTTGCCACCGTTACTCAGTAACAAATACGTTACACTTTGACACAGATTCTATAGGATATAATACAAGATGATTCAACACTAGGTAACTTTAGTATTGCTACATTGATTGTTACAACAAATGAAGCTTTATTTTTTGCCAGTTATTGGGAGAGGTGAGAATAACGAGAGATATTTATCTAATGGTGCTGGTGAGAGACACATGTATATTCTGCTTTTCTCCTACCCTGCAGAGTTTAAAGGGGATATAACTATCAGGTAATTCACACATTGAATCATTGAGATTTACTGTTGGATAATTGAACTTTAAGTTATTAGATTCTGTAAAATCATTGTTCATATGCGCAGCAGAATTATGTAATTGTAGTTGGCTCAAGCATGTGCACTTTTGTATACAACTTTTTTTTCACGAAAGCATTTTTATAATATCAATTATCATCATCATCCAACAATACTTATTGGGGTCATTGGAGCACCACGGTTGACCTTTATGATTCTCCGCCATCCATTTAAGTCCTATATATTATTTTTATTACTCGCAAATGTATATTTATTATCTGCCATAAATACGATTAGTTAAGGACAAATGAAATTGTGATATTTATTGCAGCAAATTCCTTCCGGTGAACTTCAAGGCCCTTATATTTACACTTGCCATCGGTACCCGTTTCACGTGAATTATAGGCCTATATATTTTAATTTTAAAATGTTGTACTTGTTTGAGAAAAATAATTTATGAAATAGTTATTGGTCAAAACGCAATGTGCTTTACTACACGCTGAATGATATTAGTGACAAAGCAAAGAAATAACTAATTAGCTAAAAATCCGAAACATTTAACATAACACAGGCACACAATGATTAAGTGACTTAAATGATTCCGTTAAAAATCTGGCTATTCAATGGTCATTATGTTGTTTTTAAGTAATTTGTATTAGTTTGACCGATAAAATTGTATATATTTCATAGCGTACGTCTTGATGAGTAGATCTATATATCTAGATCTAAATCAAATTTGAATGAAGTAGTTGCTTTCTTTATTGTCTAAAATCGGAAGATTCACATATAAAAAAATAAATTAAAAACATTAGCTTGACTTGGTGTGTCTCGATCCCGCATCACCTGCGTGGTATTAAGTACACTATCATCTTAGCTATTTTGGAGAATGAAAGACATACCTATTCTTTAGATTGAATTTTTTTTTATCCCGAATTAGCAAGTTCCATAGTTAAACAAAGATTTCTATAAAAATATGTTTACACCGGTGTCCGATAATGGAATCTTCTTTAAAAAAGGGGTGTTAGGTTACTGGTAGTTAACTATATACACACTTGGCTGGCTAACTCTGGCTAACTTCAATGCTAACCCTATATTATATATATATATATATATATATATATATATATATATATATATATATATATATATATATATATATATATATGTATAATTATATATATATATAATTATATGTATAATTATATGCATGTGCATGTGCATGCGCTTGTGGACGTGGACGTGTAGGTGTGCGTGAGCACGTGCATGTATGTGTGCATGTGCAGTTGCAGGTGCATGTGTCTGTGCATGTACATGTGTCTGGGTGTGGGTTTTGGTGTGGGTGTAGGTGTGGGTGTGGGTATGCGCATGCGCATGTGTCTGTGCATGTACATGTGTCTGGGTGTGGGTGTGGGTTTTGGTGTGGGTGTGGGTGTGGGTATGCGCAAAGAAATTCTAAAATCTCTAAATAAAATATGGTTCTTTGTTACAGAGAAAATGATAAACTTGTCTTTCCTGATGACTTTAAATTACGGGGAATATCCTGGTATCTGTTTGACCACAAGCATTTTGTTATTAACGGTAAGTTTTATATTTTCCCTACATTGTTAAGCACAGAACGACACTATCTGATATGGAATGGGGGGTAGCGGGGGAGGGGGGGGGGGGAGACGTAAAAAAACATCGTGTTTATACCCTTATACGGAATTAGTTTGATCTTGCTATTTATATTATACTAAAATTCAACTTGTTTACACGTTTGTATATTTGTTTGATTTTTATTAATTTCAATTTTGTTTATTATAGTGGCTAATAAAATTCTCCGGGGTAGGGGGGGGGGGGCAACACTGGTAAAAGTACATATTTTCAAAATCAATTATATTGCGTTCGAGGGGTGGGGGCTTAGATGTTTAATCGAGGAGGGGGGGGGGCTTTGCACTTACCCGAAAAGATGCCTGAAAGAAACTCTGCACGCAAATTACTCTTAGGCAGTAATGTCAGTGTTTTTATTATCGAGTATCGATGACGTCATTATTATTGTTTATTTTTTTCGGCAATGTCTTTTTAATTCTATGTTTACTCTAGAATCAATGACTACATATTATTGCGTGTACTATTCCGGCTTTAGAATATTTCCAATATCTTCCATATGAGGTCACGTTTCGTTTTCCATTGGTCTGTGAACGTTTTATTTTGCTCATGTTTTCTCTATAACACAACACAACACAAACACAAAAGAAAACGCAAACACAAAAAAACACAACTGCAAACGCTAAAAACCACAAACGCATAACAAACACAATTTAAAGGCAAACATAAACACATAGTGCTAACAGCCTAGCCCGAGGCGTTAAATCGCTACCGGCTGGGGCGCCGGCGGAACCGCCTGATTTAACTTAGTAAACGACTATAATAACCCAGCTTATCCATAAAATAAACAAAAGGCAATATTTAAAATATCCGTGTTGTACCTACCACGGTGTATTTTATCAATCTATGCTAATTATAATATTCTAACAATAATGTTATATTGTTCGTCTGCAGAGTTTGCATTCACATTTTAAAATTAGCGTGAGTTGAATTTCTTTTTAAATTACCTCCCCTGGCACAACTATTAAAAGATTTTACATTAATTAATTTTTTCGACCATACTGTTATGAAAATATATCCACTTTTTCTAGGAATCTAAACGAAAATTATATTTGACATTGATCCGTTTAATATGTTTTAGCAATGTGCGTGTATTTAATATTTGCTTCAAGTTATTCAAAAGTGTAAAAACTGTGGCAACTATAAAATAAATTTAAGTCGTTATATAAACAAACCCTACTTTATTACTTTTAATAAGACAATGCGATGCTATGTAATGATATGCATGGTACGGTGTGTACTTTTATGGTTCCAAAATCTATAGCGATGACTGACTGACCGATTGACACACTACGAGCTTCGTTATATTATAGGATATTATCATTATTATTTTTAAAAATTACAAGTAAACAAACCACCTAAGGTTAAAACCTCTATGGTCTAACTGTCTGTGGTCTGAGTACGTTTGGATACGTTTTTATTATGTGCTTATAATTCTGTAGAAAATTGTATATATTTTACTACTACTTCTTGTGTTTAAGTAGGCTTATTTGTGTAATTGTGAAAAATGACAACAAACTAGCAGGTTTGGCGTTTAAATTATATATAAGAGAATAGAAGCCTATAAAATACTTTTTTTCATGTTCGTATTTGAATTAATAGTTTGGTTCAATATTTTTAAAAATAGAAAGGGTTTGTAGCGATACTACTCGGACGTGCGCGCCAAGTGAACCAACAGGATCAGGAGGATTTTGGAGAGTAAACATTGCCTTCAACGGGACAACATTTGAAAACCCAGCTGAATCATCACCAGACCCAGTGGTTTATTGTCTTGAGAAAACACCACCACCACCTACAACGACTACTCCACCGCCTCCAACGACGTCTGAGAAAAAGTCTCCACCAAACAAGTCTGTCATGGCATCAACAAATGTGGCCGTGTTTGCTTGTATCATCCTGTTGTTTATTCTGATCTAACAGTTGCTTTAGTCGTCTGAATGAATGCTTACCTGTCTTTTTAGTACAGGTAGTTGTCTGTTACATGACCAAATTTTTTGTTTATGGTTTGGACAATTTAAATAACCCACATTGTGAGTGTGCAATGTCTTCGTAATGTATTAAAATAATAAAAGTGTAAAGCATGCACTCACTAGTTATACCAACATTTTTACTACAGATGCAATGAGAACAATATGTAAACATACGTGCAGTGATTCATAAAAAGAAGAAATCTTTAAATTATCGTAGTATTAGCTAGTTACTCCCTGCGTAGTAGGAGTATCGGCTATGTTTGGGCTAGGAATAGTGATATGATTGATTTAAGATTGGTAAAGGTTCTGTATATAATTTTTTTTACTGCATTTAGTCTGTTTTGTATGCAAATGTAATCCTATCGAAAGTACGAAATAATGTTTACTTTTCATCCCACACGAACATTTTTAAAAATGCCGATTTTCTCACTTGCCAAGGTATTCTAAAGAGCTGCGTAATAACCATGTGGGTAATTGTCTAAAGCGTAATTCACATGGGGTAGTTGAACGAGGGGTCATAACCGGGAGGGCGGTTTCTTTTAATGCCATAGGCTCATTTCTGGCTGGTCAGGGACTGGTTAAGTTTATCTCTGGCGCGGACCAGAGTCGCATGACCTCTGACCTGTAACACGTTATTGGTTGTACCATGCCAGATAAATCTATGTATTCTTTAAAAACAGTTGATATCTAAATCTAAAAGATTATTTTGTTGTCCTTAAAAGTTGTCGAGGAAGTCTAAAATGAATACATTAAGTAGGGTTGCTTCCAATAGTGGATATATATATATATTTTTAAATTACATTTCAAACGTTAAGACATTTTCTTTTTTCGAAATTGCGTCTGTTATGTTTTATCTCTAAAACAAAATTATCGATTTATTTATCTTTTTGCAATTTTTACCCATATGTGTTTGTTTTATTTCAATAAAAGTGTATGGGATATAAAAAAAAATGTGGATTTTTTTTTCGTTTCCTTGAATGTTTATTATTTTTTAAATTGCCAAGTCATTACATTTTGAGATTTATAACTAGATATAACCAAAATAACCAATGCATTTGCTTTATAACTTGTTGGATATAGAAATATTAAAATCAGTGGCGTAGGCAGAAGGAGAGGGAGGGCTTGTTAGAGGTGTTATACCCTCCCCCATGGACCTCCAACATGAATACTGTTTTTCGTTATGTTACAGCTGTTTACCTGAGTTGCTATCATTTAAGGCTTCAACACTAAACACCTAGATATACTTCACTATACAGGCCTCGACATTCCCACAGAATGTCCCTCCATGTGCCACACTTCAATTTCACGAACAAAAAAAAGAAAGGCAAAATCTGCTCTCAACCAAAGTACATCCACACACAACATACTACGCACAAGAAGATAGTCCTTTATATAACAATAACTAACATCACTACATGAAACATTAAGAGGGAACACACACTAAAACCAATTTTGCAAAAAAATAACATAAAAATATAATCAAGACACACAAAGCAGCCATAAACTAAGGTAATTAAAACTCAAACTCGCGCCGTAATAGCGAACTACTTAGCTACAACAAAACTCAACAGGACACAAAAAGCATTTTGTAATAAAATAATAATAAAAATTAAATAACTTTCCAGTCCCTTAAATTTAGAATAACAAAGTATACCATTGTGCTGATAATTGCCTGTAGATCTTAGTTACTATTTTTATTATCGTGCTAAATTAATTTATAATAATCTGGAACGCTGTAGACCAAGGGGAAGCTAGTATGGAGCAATTTTTGTTATATTTTCGCTACTATGATAACGACATAAAAAATAAGAGAAGATTTCCTACAGTTTGTAAGTATAATTGATTTAATAGCGCAATACAACTTTTTAAACACACCAAAATGACAAACTTTGCTTGCAAATTCAATAGAGTAATTAACACCTAAATCTTCCGCATCTCTATTATCCGATTTCGCGCAATAAGATGGATTCAACGTCATGAGTCCGTCAAAGCTTTTGTAAACATTAAAAAAAGCAACTGTTGATGCACATGAAAATATGTCATTTTGACACAATAGCAGTTCAAATTTCTTGTTTCAAGTTTCTCTTAGAGTTATCAAAAAATCTTTGCAATAACACTTCCTGTCAGCAGAATACTCCAAACAGAAAGCTGTGGCCCGAAAATTGACAGAAGATTTAAGTAGCTTATTCTTTTATATGCGGAATGTTGCCGAGTCAGAATTTACTACCGTAATGAAGTCAAAGACATTTGTGAGGAGTTTGACATAGATATACTTATTCCACGTCGAGATGGAAAACAAATTCAACGCTGCAACGTGGTGGCAAATACATCTGAAGCATATTACAGAATGGCTGTATTTATTCCATTTCTTGATTCCATTATATGTCAAATATGAGTCATAAAGCTTAAACAAAAATATTTTTTTTTTTGGGAAGTTTTATGTGACTTTTGCCAATCACTTAGGTTTTACCAAAGAACAGGAACAAAATGCCACAACGCTTATGCAAAAATATGAACGTTTGATTAACCTTCGATAAAGACATTGGATAATTGAAACTTTGGTGGCGCCACATTATTACTAGTGGAAATGTACCTCAAAATGCTCATCAGGCGTTTTTAATGTGCGACTTAAAAATATTTCCAACAGTCCACAAACTACAGCCAATATTTATAACACGGGATAAATGGAGAAATGCAACGGGCGTTAGGTTGATAGTGTTGTCTTTTTCTCTAAACCGAAACTAAAACCAAATCCCCACCTTCACCTCAAATTTAACTGGAAACAAAAAAAATATGTCATTAAAAACTGATTTTTACCCAGAATAGGCATTATAACCGGATCCGGAAATTTAACCGGACATGGAAATACAGGCAGAAGTAGAAGAAATTTAACCGGAAACGAATTTTATTAAAACGGGATTTTTATCCAGAAGGCGTATTTTAACCAGTTCTGGAGATTTTATCAAACGGCTACGGAAATTTAGGCAGAAACGGAAATTTAATAAGATATGAACATTAATTGAAAAATGAAATTTATCCGGAATCGATACTTTTAGCCTGATTGAGAACCTTAACATGCACGAAATTTAACCGAGAAGGAACTTTATTCAAAAACGAATTTTAACTTTAGTTAGATCGGAAAGAAAAATTCATCTCGAAACGGTGTGTAACTTGAGACGAAATTAAAAAAAAAAACAGAAGCGTAAATTTATCCGTAAACGGACATTTTAAAAGGTAAAGAAATTTAACCCGAAACGGATCTTTAACAGGAGACGAAATTCGACTCAAACTGAAGTTTTAACACAACCGAAAGTTTAACCGAAATCGGTGCCTTAATATGTAATGAAATTTAACTGGAAACGAAACTTTATTCGGAGCCGAAATTGCAGCAGCCTGAGCAGGTAATTTTATTCGAAATAAGACCCAACTGTAATTCTAAATTCAAACGCTTTCTATATATTTTACTTTTCCGGTATTTTTTGTGTATATCTACATACACTAAAATTAAACAAATGAATGAGGCATTTAATTTTTTGTCTCTATTTTCAATCACGTCATTATCACTGTGTATCCTTTTCGGCATTCGATTTTTATTCTACAATTAATGACGTCATTCTTTTATATGTTCTTTTAGAACGTTTACACTTGATAATAAACCGGGAGTGATCTCCCCTAAACTTTCTGGAATATTCTTATATAAAACAACTGGGGATGGGAACTCGGGCTATAGACATGATTTTTAATCCATTTTAAATACTTAAAGTTTTAAAAATAGAATAAAATCTCGTAGACAAAAGAATTGCACACCGAGTGAACGCCAAATAAAAAAGTGCACAATAGTGCGCAATATTATTAGTACTAATTTACATTCGTTTTTTGAGAAATCGGAAGTAGCGTAAATTACTACTTCCGGTCAATGGAAATTACTCAAAATTTAACAGAAGGTAGAGAACTAAATCTTTTACTTACATGTGAAATTTCATTTATCTATCTGAAATAGTACTCAAGTTATCGGCTTTTGAAAAATTCAAAGTAGAAAAAGTACCACTTCCGGTTATCGAAAATCGCACAAAAGTTGATACGGATCTACGATTTTGATAAAATACTTATATATGAAATTTCATCAACTTAGCTGTAGCGGTACTCAAGTTATCGTGTTTACACACGGACAGACAGACACACAGACATACGGACAGAATTGCAAAGCCCAGTTTTTCAGACTGGATTACGCATAAAACCTCTTAATTTTGATAAATCTGGATTGATAATTTTTGCCCGATTAAAATAAGTCCTCTATACTTCGAATGTGATGAAGGACTGAGGAGTAAAACGGTGAAAACTGTCAAAATTTCATGTTATTTTTGTGCACGATTACAATACTTTCTCTATACTTCGTATATACGAGAAAGTAAAAATAAAATTAATAAACTGAAAAAAGTAAAATAAAACATAACATAAAAGAAAAAATGTTTGTCAACAGATTAGCACACAAACTAACCATGATTAGCTTAGAAGCTGAAATTTATAATTTTCTAATGAATAGAACAGTTCAGGACATAATCAACGGTAGCATGAAATGTTCTCCCCTCGGCAATTGGGAATAATCTGTTTTTTTTTGGAAGCGTTAGCTGAAAACAAAAAGTAAATAGTTTTCACCCAGGGCAAGAGACGTGGACCCCCTTCCATGTGCTGCCCCACGCATGCGTTCCTTGATGGAATACACGGCCGTTTGTTTGATAAAGCCACGGCTGGCTATGAAATGTAACTCATTGGAAAAAAATCTTTATAGACACAATTTTTTGTGTAAATTCTGTGATCTTTCTTTAAGTTGTCTTTCTTCGAATTTCACTTTGTTTCTCTGAAATGACCTGGATCTCGAGAATGCTACATAGAGTTGCCCATAACTAAAAACTGGTGGAGGCAAATAAATACCACCCGTATCCAATGTTTGTCCTTAGCTTTTGTTTATCGTCATATCAAAAACAAGTCTCAATGGAAACTGTTTTCTTCTCTAACGTAAAAGATAAGGCTAGGGTCACTGGATGAAAGAATAGCACTGGGTATGAATACTCTTATACCTTTAAACGACCCGAGCATTATTTTGCAGTCTATTACCTTTGACATAAACTGCTTTTCAGAATTTTTTTTTCTAATACACCGTTTCGAAATAGCCTATTAAAATGCTACACAGTGTTAAACATTGTAGTGTCCGAAATATATTTTTTAAATATTGAAAATTTATGGTGAAGCAATTTAGAATTTTTAAAAATTGAATACATCGATAAAAAAAAATAATTCACAAATGCAGAAGATACATTATTTTTATTTGTTTTGATTTTGGTACAGCTTTTTGTTTGCAAATACTGTAAATAAAATAATTACACAGCGTGTTTAAAAACATTCCCATAAATTCGCAATCTATATACATTGATCTTGTAAAATAAATTTAATAAAGTTCCCTTTTTCGAAGCTTTTGGTTCATTGGGCTGTTGAAAAAGAGTTCACCTGTTTTTTGTGACCTCGGTATATTGTTCTTACAGGCATCGTTTATGTTTATTAAGCTAAAAAATCAAACACAAAGGCATCATGATTATCCCAAGCAGTTTATATGTCTTAAAAAGTGAGACTCTTTCTGTATGTCATCACCGGCTCAGGAGGCGTCTCCCATGAGCCATTATGCAATTGCCATGTATGGAACAACTATGATACTACACTATTTTATAATTATCAATTTTTTAAACGTAATTGAACAACTTTTTCAGATATGGCTTACAGTAAAACTTAACATCTAAAACCTTTTAAAGATGTTTCCATTTTTGGCAAACATAAATAAGTGCTTAACATCGTAACGGCGTTTGAAAATAATTTAACGTTTGAAAAAAATTAATTTTTTA